GGCTGAGTTCTTTATCTCTTCATTTGATGTTCTAGGGTTTCAGGATTGTTGATTCTCTGTTTGGCTTAGTTTTTCGTATCTTTGTTGTGGAGGGACGGCGTGGTGCTTCTGCCTAGACCGCCATCTTGCCGGAGTCTCCAGGAGAAACCCATTTATACTCTTAATGTAAACTTATGTTTGCTTAATTAAAAAGTAAAGAAAAGTGTTTGATGTATTTGTGGGCTTACTTTTCAGCCCAACACATGATAATTATTTGCTATTTAAAGTTCTGGATACATTCTGTTTTGCTTTAATAATGTTCAAAGGGATTGTTACTAAGTCTACATTATTAACATATGGGCACAAGCATGAGTCAAAACAGGTTCAAGCATGAAGGTGTTGAGGGACTAAACTTTCTTCCTTCTCTCCTTTTCTTCCATTTTTTTCTTTTATTTTTGAAGAAAATATTTCATTGATTTTCCATTAAATGATGTTATTCAGGCATTTGAGACTGTGTATTACTCTTTAGCATGGATTCATCCTAAAACCTCATTTATGGTCCTCACAGCTCCAAAAGATTCCCTACAACATTTTACTCTGGAGTTTTGTTTTGTTACTCCCTTTGTCCCTCTGATTGTCACATTTATCTCTTTTTTTGGTTCTAGGCACAGAGTTAAGTGCTCTGCTCATTTTTATTAAATTTTAAATAATTATTAATATCATCCAATAGCAAATATTCTACTGTAGTTCCTGGGGAATATTAAAAGTGTTAAATACACACACACACACACACACACACACACATTTGTTGTTGCTGTTGTTAATTGCCATCGAGTCAATTCTGACTTTCTGACTCATGGTGACCCCATGTGTGCACAATAGAACTGCTCCATAGGGTTTTCAAGACTGTGACCTTTTGGAAGAAAATTGCCAGCCCTGTCTCTTGAAATACCAACCTTTCGGCCGGTGGGTAGTTGAACACTTAACCATTTGTACCATCCAGGGAATTCATATATATATATATATATATATATATATATATGGATATATTTAAAACACCAATATAAGAAGAGTAATATCAATCTCTCTCTTTTCTGAACTCCAGGGTAGTTTATCTGCTCCTTTCTCTAATGGGGAGCCCTGGTGACATAGTGGTTAAGAACTCGGCTGCTAACCAAAAGGTCACCAGTTCGAATCCTCCAGCCGCTCCTTGGAAACCCTATGGGGCAGTTTTACTCTGTTCTATAGGGTTGCTATGAATTGGAATCGACTTGACAGCAATGAGTTTTTTTTTTTCTCTAATGGTGTTCTATGTGTGTGTGACTTTGTGTTCCTATTAGATTTCAAACTTCTGGTTCCCACAACATCTACCTAGCATGGCCCACCACCACATTGTCTACCTAGTGTGAGGCCGTGCCCACAGCATCTCATTAGCACATTTTAGTTTCTCAGTGAATCTTTTCTTTTAATGACTAAATAAACCAAAAAATCCAAACATGTTAGTGACATTCTAAATGACCTATAGCACTTCCAGTTAAGGAGTAAAGTCATTTAACTTTTATTATTTCTACTGTCATAGAATATACCCTAAGCCTGTTGCTGTCGAGTCAATTCTGACTCATAGTGACACTGGCACTTGCAAAATATACAAGTCGTAGTAGGGGAAGATTGCTTAAGTCTATCTCTATAGCTCTCCATTCTAAAGTATCAGTTCAGCTAAAGGCTTGGGTTTTGTAGCATTCTTGTTGGCATTTGTCTATTTATTAAGCTGTTTATTGAAAATCTATCTGTGTTGAAGCTCTGTTCTGTCAGATTTCCTAGAAAACTTGTCGTTATTGCCCACTGAATCATTTAATAACATATCATGACTTCAGGCCGGTAAGCAGCGCAATCCCTAGAGAAGTTGTCTAGAATATAGATGTTGCACACCTCCCCTGAACATTCTGAACTTCTAGATTCACATGGGTTCTGGACGTCTGAGGTTATTCTAACACTTTTCAGTGGTCCTGGAACCACTCTCTGAGAAACACTGAAGTTGAATCAAAAGTTCACTATGAATGGAATGCTGTGATTTTTTAAATGATAATTCTTCTAAAAGTTGTGAGGCATTCTGAATGTGTTTAAAATTTGTGTTATAAAGATGAATTCTTCTTTGACATTGCAGAATCAATAATGATTTATGTGACATTGCAGATGTAATTATATAATACTTTCTTCACTGCAATTTTACTGGTCTAGTGTATATTAACATGCCATTTTAAGCAAGATCTTTATTTATCAAAAACTCCCATTTATCAGGAATGAGAACAAATGTAAAACCTAAGTTGCAATTTTTTTTCCACCTGTTAATTTTTACAGATACAATATTTACCTCTATTTGATACCACATTTATATAGGACTTTTTTTGGAGAAAATTTTCAGGATACTGAAAGATACAATGTACCTTTCATAATCGTCATTATTAGATGGTGCTAATATTGATCTTGAAACAGGACAGAGTACTGAATTTTTTAATCATGAAAAAGTTTAAGGATTAATTTCAGTATTAAATGTTTTTACTGATTTTATTAATTCTGATTCTCTGAAAATCAATAATGAATTGCTAACGTACAGAAACTTAATGCAGATTTTTATAATTATAGCTAAATGATTGATGTATTCCAGTGAAGTCATTATAAATCATGCACTTGGATTAGTATTCAATATAAAGGCCTCCTACCTTCTTTTTAAATTTAGCAAATACTTCTTTGATAATATGGGTCTAGTATTATTTAGATGAGTGATGCACTGAAAGTTTGAGAATTGCTACAGAACTTGACATAAATTTATAGATGGTCTGAATTCCTTAATGCCTTAATCTGTTATTTCTTTTTTTTTTTTTAGGGACTTTCTCCCTCGAGGATCAGGCATTGTAACAAGACGGCCTCTTGTGCTGCAGCTTGTTACTTCCAAATCAGGTAATGAATGAAGAGGTTTACTGCATGGATGACCACATCCTGTGGCACCTGTCGCCTCTGTTCCTGGGTGCTGGGTTGTAGCATGTCTTAGTCATCTAGTGCTGCTTCAACAGAAGTACCACGAGTGGATGGATTTAGCTAAAAGAAGTTTATTCTCTCACAGTCCAGTAGGCTACAAGTCCAAATTCAGGGTGTCAGCTCCAAGGGAACACTTTCTCTGTCAGCTCTGGAGGAAGGTCCATGTCATCAATCTTCCCTTGGTCTGGGAGGTCCTCTGCACGGGAACCTCAGGTCCAAAGGACGCGCTCTGCTCCCGGCACTGCTTTCTTGGTGGTATGAGGTTCCCATGTGTCTCTGTTCGCTTCTATCTTTTATATCTCAAAAGAGATTGCATTAAGACACTATCTAATCTTGTCAATCAGTCATCTTGTCATCAGTATAACCTCATCACAGTGATAGAATTTACAACACATAAAGAGATCACATATAATCTCATCATAGTGATAGAATTTACAACACATAAGGAAATCATATCAGATTACACAATCATACAATACTGGGAATCATGACCTAGCCAAGTTGCTACACACATTTTTTGGGGGACACAATTCAATCCATGACATAGCAACAGAAACATTTTTGAGATCACACTCTACTTTGGGCAGCTGCCTGCATTTCTGTCCAAAATGCTCACTTTTTCATTGCTTTTTCAATTCCTTCGATCACATTAAGAGGAAGGATTCATGTGCATATAGATTTTTTTAGCACCTACTTTTTTTTCTGACTAGAAAAATAATGTTTTCTCATTTTAATTCATTTATATAATTTTACAGTACAGCATAACTACTAATAACCCTTTGATAGACTTCCTTCGTGTATGTGTGTGTTTAGGGTATTTTTTTAAAATAAGAAAATTCAAGCTCTATCTTACATATGTATGTATACATATATTTGTATATGTGTGTCTATCTCTATCTCTATACCTAATGTGCTGTACTTGCCCCTTGCTTTAACACCCTGATAATTTGTTAGGCAAATGATGCCTTATTTTAATTTTATTTCTTAGCAACTAGTGATGTGGATTTTTTTTTTTTATATTTATTTGCCATTTGTAGTTCTTCTTTTGTGAATTGTCTATTTCTATATTTCCTCATTTCCTTTTGGGGATTTTATTACTTTTCATATCAATTTCTTCGAATGCTTAAGATTAAGCACTCATAAAGATCATACCTCATTAATTGCAAATATCTTATTCATTTTTTACTTTAAAGAATCTCTGCTGAGTTTGAGCAAAAGTAATGGACTCAAGTGTGGTTACTTGATAAAAAAATGAATTTCTTACAAATCTACAGTGCACCAGGCAGTAATCTAGGCTCTGGGGATATAGCAGCACCCGGGACACAGATCCTGCCCTTGTGCTGCTTTACATTCTGGTTCTACCATTTTTAATGTACGGAGATTTTCCTCATTATGGTCGTGAAATATATATGTTTAAGTTTAAAGAAAAGTAAGTATTTAGCACAATTATCTTCATTTTCATACTTTTGCCCCTACATTTAGTTATTTACTTTATCAGAATTTTTAAAAATATACGTATGCTAAGGCTCCAAATAATTTTTACTGCGTACATTCTCCTTTATCTTATATTACATTGCTTTAACACCACCTCTGAATACCTTTTCTATTCCATCGTGCCGATACCACAGTGTTTTACTTCCGTGGCTTTTTAATTTGCTTTAAAGGAGCCCTGGTGGAGCAGTAGTTAAATGCTTAACTCCTAACCAAAAGGTTGACGGTTCGAACCCACCAGCTGCTCTGCAGGAGAAAGATGTGGCAGTCTGCTTACGTAAAGATTACAGTTTTGGAAACCCTATGGGGGCAGTTCTACTCTGTCCTATAGGATCACAATGAGTTGAAATCGACTTAATGGCAATGGGTTTATAATTTGCTTTAATATCTGTCAGGGCTATAGTCCTTCCCCCATTACTTATTTTTATTTAGGGGTTGTTTTCTATTTGTGTGGCAAATTTTAGATTAATTTTGTAAAGACAAAATGATTGCTACTAGAAATATTTTAAACCTATAGATTCACTAGGGAAGAATTGATACCTTTAAACTATTCGATCTTCTTTTTAGTCCAGGGGTCATGCTATATCCTTTCATTTACTCAAATCGTCTTAGTAAAATTTTTGATGGTCTTCATATAGCCTCCACACAGTTCTAGTTTAGAGTATTCATATATATTTTTTGTTGTTCTTGTGGTTTAAGTGGGATTTTTTTCCATTAAATTTTCTAACTCCTTATTGCTGATTTATGGGAATGCTGTTGGTATTTTAAAGAGCCCTGGTGGTGCAGTGGTTAAGTGCTTGGCTGCTAACCAAAAGGTTGGTGGTTTGAACCCACCAGTGGCAATGAAGGAGAAAGACGTGGCAGTCTGCTTCCATAAAGATTACAGCCTTGGAAACCCTATGGGGCAGTTCTACCTTGTCATATAGGGTTGCTGTGAGTTAGAATCGACTCAACTGCACACAACAACAACAACATTGGTATTTTAATTTTTAGTTAGCCATCCTACTCTACTTTTGAGAGTTTAAAATATTTTTAATTTATTTTGTTCGGTATTTTAGTTACAGAGTCATTTCATCTGCATATCTTAATTTATTTAACAAATTCTTAACATGAAAATAGTGGGGTGGCTGAGGAAGAAGGCTTAATGACCAGAATGTTAATAACCTTCTTTGCAGTGGAGACCTTTTGGTGAGTATTGACATGGGAAAAAATATTCTTACACACTGAGCTAATTTAAGAAGCTGTACCACATGCCTTTTCCTTATACCTCCTTGCCTCCATTTGCACCCAATCTTGTCCCTTCTAAGCCCCTGACCAGTCTTTCATCACTTCCCATTAATTAGTGAGGATCATACCAAATGCTCTGCCTTTCCTTTCAGGCAAAGGAGGTGAGAAATTCTTACCTCAGGGAGAACGGACCTTCCCTGTAGCCCTTCAGATACTCATGAATGGGGCTTTTACATTGCAGCAGTCTACTCCAGCTGATGCCAGCTGAGAACCAAGCTCAATTATTTTCATCCCAAATAAGCTACTCATGGGGAAATCCCACGTGACCATAGGCTTAAGTTCATGGAGGGCTAACAAAATGGCAGGAGGAAGTAAGCCAGGATGTGTGTCAACTGCTCGTGCAATTTACTTGTGCCTTTAGTACCTAATTGGAATCCGTTCCATATATTCAAATTTCTCTTGATTGATTTATTCATTCAATACGTATTTATCGAGTGATTATTGTGTGCCAGGTAAAAATCCCCATCATCATGGAGCTTACATCCTAGTTGGGGAGAGACCAACAATAAGCAAAACACATAAGCCAAAGAAACACATAGAATGTTAGCTGATGATAAGTTCTATGAATAGAACTAAGTTTTATAAAGTTCTATAAAATAAGTAAGCAGGTTAAGGGCATAAGCCATGCCAGGGTGGGGTGGGTTTGCTGTTGTATATAGGATGGCAGGGAAGGCCTGTCTGAAAAGGTGATAATTGAGGTTTCTGAAGAAAATGAACAATCTAGCCTTGATGGTATCTGTAAATGAGAAGGTTCTAAGATAGGAGCTGCTGTGTATTTGAAGTTTATCAAGGAGGCCGGGGGGCTGGAGATGGAGTGAGTGAGGAAGGGTAGTAGGAGATGGCGCAAAGAGAGCCAATATGATGGCAATAAAAAAGAGCCTGACTGGGTAGGGTCTTGTGGGCAGGGAGCCTTAAAAGGGAACAAGATAGGAGGATTAGAGCTTTAAAGTAAGTGCCACTGAATGTAAGAGAGAGAGAGAAAGGATAGAGTAACTGAGGGATTGGAGAACAAGAGAGGAATTAGCTTTACACACGAGGATGACGGAGGGATACGTCTTCTATTGCAGCCAAATCAAAAGAGGAAAATGTGGGGGAAGCTGCAGGTTTAATTCTGTACTTTTAGTGTTAGAGAGTTGAGGCATCCCTCATTTGAGGAGAAAGTAGGAGACAATGTATTTGCTGATAATGATCATTTTGTCTTCTCATTTCCACTAGTTGTGCCCTTTATGTCTCTTTGATGTCTTAGTTCACTGGTCAGGACTTTCAGAATAGTGTTAAGTAGCTATCCTTCTTTTGTGCTTATGATGAAGATGCCTCTTGTATTAAACTATGTGTATAATGTTTACTATTTGTTTATCCTGGTAAATAAATATTTTAATCCCAGTTTTTAAATGATTTTTAAAGCATCATAAGTAAGGTATAGAAGTTTATTGAATGCCATTTTGGCGTTTATTGAAATGATCATTTAAAAAATTCTTTCATCTGTTTACCCTTGCGTTTATAGATTTCTTATTTAAGTTTCCTTGTAGTCTTAAGATATACTTGATTATAGTAACTTATTCTTTTTTTAAAATTTTTTTTTATTGTTGTAATTAAATGAAGTTTACATTTCAAGTTAGACTCCCGTAAAAAAAAATTTTTTTTTTACATACATTGTTAAGAGACCCTAATTGCTCACCCCATCCTGCGACAGCACAGTCCTCCTTTCCGCCCCTGATTCCCCATGAGCATTCAACCAGCTCCTGACTCTCTCTGCCTTCCCATCTCAGCTCTGGACAGAAGCTGTACCTTTGTTCTCTTGTATCTACTTGACTAAGAGGTACATTCTTCATGAGTATCACTTTATGTCCCACAGTCCAGTCCAATCCCTGTCTGAAGAGTTGGCCTCGGAAATTGTTTTAGTTCTGGGGTGATAGAGTCCGGGCCATGCTTTCCGGGGCACTTCCAGTCTCAGTCAGACCATTAAGTCTGGTCTTCTTACTAGAATTTGAGTTCTGCACCCCATCCTTCTATTGCTCCATCA